CATGGTGCACGATCTTTTTTTATATGTCTGCATTTTATTTGCCAGAATTTTATTGAGAATTTTTGCATCTATGTTCATTAGAGATATTGGTCTGAAGTTTTCTTTTTTTTATTGTGTCTTTGCCTGGTTTTGAAATCAGACTGATATTGGCCTCATAGAATGAGGGCCACTTTTTGGAAGATGTACTGCCTCTTTTCTATTTCCTGAAATAAATTGGAAAGTATTGGAATTAGTTCTTCTTATAGGTCTTGTAGAACTTGGCTGTGTATACATCCAGTCTTGGGCTTTTCTTGGTTGGTAGACTTTTGATGGAGCCTGCTATTTCGCCATGTGAAATTGATCTGTTTAAATTGTGTATATCATCCTAATTAAATTTGGGCAAATTATATGACTCTAGAAATTTGTCAATGCCTTCGATATTTTCAAACTAATTTCTAATTATCTTCTGTATTTCTGTAGTGTCTTTTGTGATATTTCCTTTGTCATCATATATGATAGTGATTTAAGTTTTCACTCTTCTTCTCTTCATTAGCATGTCTAAATGTCTGTCAATTTTATTTATTTTTTCAAAGAACCAACTTTTTGTTCTATCAATTTTTAAATTGTTTCTTTTGTTTCAATTTTATTGACTTCAGTTCTGATTTTAATTATTTCCTGTCTTCTTTTGCTTTTGGTGATGATTTGTTCTTCTTTTTCTAGGGTATTGAGATGTAGTGTTAAGTCATTTATTTGTTGACTCTTTCTTCTTTTAAGGAATGAACTCCATGCAATGAACTTTCCTCTTAGAAATGCTTTCATAGTGTCCCAGAGATTTTGATAAATTGTATTTGTTTCTCATTCACCTCTAAAAATTTTTTAATCTCCTCTTTGATTTCTTCTGTAACCCATAGTCTCCAGGTGTTGGAGTGGATTTTATTTCTTATTTTATCATTGATTTCTAATTTCATTACATTATGACCTGATAAAATGCAGGGTAGTATTTCTATTTTTTATATTTGCTAAGAGTTGCTTTGTGGCATAGTATATGGTCTATTTTAGAGAAGGATCCATGTGCTACTGAGAAGAAAGTATATTCTCTGGTTAAAGGTTGGAATATTATATATATGTCAGTTAAGTCTAAGTTATTGATTGTATTATTGAATTCTAAAGTTTCTTTGTTCAGCTTTTGTTTGGAAGATCTATCTAGTGATGAAAGAGGTGTGTTAAAGTCACCCAAAAGTATAGTGTTGTGGACTATTTGACTCTTGAACTTGAGAAGAGTTTGTTTGATGAACATAGCTGCTCCATTGTTTGGGGCATATATATTTATAATTGTTAAGTCTTGTTGGTGTATGTTTCCCTTGAGAAGTACGTAGTGTCCTTCTTTATCCTTTTTGATTGACTTTAGTTTGAAGTCTACTTTATTTGATATGAGGATGGAAACCCCTGATTGCTTCCTCAGTCCATGTGAGTGGTATGATTTTCCCAACCCTTCACCTTCAGTCTGTGAATGTTGTTTTCTATGAGATGTGTCTCTTGGAGGCAGCATATTGTTGGGTCTTTTTTTAATCCAATATGCTAGTCTATGCATTTTGATTGTTGAGTTTAGGCCATTAACATTCAGGGTTATTACTGAGACATAATTTGTATTCCCAGGCATTCTTTTTTTTTTTTTTTGGTATTTAACATGACTAATCTATCTGATTAGATTTTCCTCATTTTATAATTGATTTAATCCCTCCCTCTGCTGATTTTCATCATTGTTTTTCATTTCCTCTTCTTTGGATATTTTGCTGAGGATGTTCTGTAGTGTAGGCTTTCTAGTTGTAAATTATTTTAACTTTTTTATCATGCAAGGTTTTTATTTCATCATCAAATCTAAAGTTTAGTTTTGCTGGACATAAGATTCTTGGTTGGCATCCATTTTCTTTCAGATCTTGGTATATGTTGTTCAATGATCTCCTGGCTTTGAGGGTCTGGGTTGAAAAATTTGCTGAGATATGAATTGGTATCCCCCCTATATGTGATCTGATTCCTCTCTCTTGTGGCTTTTAAGGTTCTATCCTTATTCTGTATGATAGGCATTTTCATTATAATGTGTCTTGGTGTAGATCTATTGTAATTTTGTACATTTGGTGTCCTGTAAGTCTCTTGTATTTGGTTTTCGAATTCGTTTTTCATGTTTGGGAAATTTTCTGATATTATCTCATTGAAGAGATTGTGCATTCTTTGGTTTGGAACTCTGTGCCTTCCTCTATTCCAATAACTCTTAGATTTAGTCTTTTGATGTTGTCCCATAATTCTTGGATGTTCTGTTCATGTTTTTTAACTTTCTTCACTGTGTGATCAACTTTATTTTCCAGATTGTATACTTGTGTCTTGATTATCTGATGTTCTTTCTTCCAAGTGATCTATCTGTCGGTAATGGTTTCTATTGATTTTTTATTTGATTTATTGTATCCTTCATTTCAAGGATTTCTGACTGGTTTTTCTTCAGGGTCTCTCTCTCTTGAAGTAATCTTTTGCTACCTGTATATGCCTCTTATCTCATTGTTGAAGTGATCAATTTTTGCTTGTATTTGCTCATTTAGGTCATTCTTTAATTCACCGATCATTTTAATTATGAACCTTTTGAACTCTTTCTCTGAGATTTCAACAACTTTGCTGTCCATAGATTCTGTTATTATAGTGTCCTGGTTTGTTTGGGGCACTTTCCTCCCATGTTTTTTCATGTTGTTTATGTATTTTCCTTTCTTGCAGTGTAAATCTGAGATATTACAGTTTCTTCCCCATAATCTTGTAGTACCTGTGCAGATTGTCTGTACCTCACCTTGATGGTGGGCTTCCAGAACTTGTGGGTGTCCCTCAATGGATGCTACTGCATCCTGGGACTGGGACCTGCATAAGTTGGAGTGGGTGGTTCTGGGCCACTGCGCTTGACCTCCTGTGGTAGTCTGCTGGTAGTAAGGGGTGGTCCTGCACCAAAGGCTAGTCTCTGGCAGTGTCTGCCCCACCAGGGGATGGGTGAACCAGGCCTACTGAAATCCTCAATCCCACATGGGCTGTTGTGAGAGGTCTGGGCTAGATCTCAGCTCTCACAGTAGTGCACTGTTCAGAAGGGGTGGTCCTGCACCAGAGACTAGGCTCTGGTGAGAGTCTGCCCCACTAGTAAAGGAGTGGACCTGGCCCACTGTGCACCTGGGCCCTGCAAAGGCTGGTGTGGGTGGATCTGTGCCACTGGGCCTGACCTCCCGGTTGAGATCTTGGATCCCAAGTGGGCTTGTGTGGGCAGCCTGGGCTGTATCTCAGCTCTCGTGGTAGTGCATTAGCAGAAGGGGCAGTCCTGCACTAGAGCCTAGGCTCTGGCTAGTGTCTGCCCAGCCAGGAAAGGGGTAGACCCAGCCCACTCTGTGCCTGGGTCCTGTAGAGCCCAGTGTGGGTGGATCTCTAAGTTGACTTTTTAACTGGTGAGGGATAATGGAATTTTGTGTAATTTTTTGTACATGTGGCTATCTAGCTTTCCAGTAATCATTCATTTAAAAACTGTTCTTCTAAAACACTTTCCTATCATATTTGTTGAAAATATGTTAGCTACGGATAAGTGGCTTTACTTCTAGGCCCTGTAGTCTGTTCTATGCACCTGTATATCTATTTTTTTCCAATTTATACCATCCTATTTTGATTACTACAGGTTTGGAGTATAATTTAAAGTGAGATAGTGCAAGCCTTCTGGTTTGCTCAAGATTGTTTTGACTACTTGATGTTTTTTTGTTGTTCCATACAAATATTATGGGTTTTTTTCTATCCCTGTGAAGAATGCATTTCATGGATGGGGATTGCATTGATTCTTTGGGTCACTTTAGTAGGATAGACTTTTTAACAATATTGAGATGTTCACATCATTTATCTTTCCAATTTTGTATATCTTCATTTCTTTACATAAATATTTTTATAGTTTTCATTGTAGAGATCTCATATATTTGGTTAAATATATCTTTAAGTATTTTGTTTTCAGAAGCTACTGGAAATGTATTTACTTTATTCATTTCTTTTTTCCAACAATTCAGTATATGCATATAGAAATTCTACTGGTGTGTTTTAATGTGGATTTTGCATCCTACAATTTCCTGAAGTTCTTTATTAGTTGTAATATTTGTGTGGAATTTGGGGGTTTTCAAAATATAAGATCCTGATGTCTGTAAACAGGGACATGCTGACTTATTTCTTCTTAGTTTGGATGCCCATTATTCTTTCACTGCACTGATTTCTCTGTAGTATTTGATCCCTATATTAAAATAGTGAATACTGATATCTTTTACTTATTTCAGATATTGGGAAAATTTCAATTTTACCCACTCAATATGATGCAATCTTTGGGATGGTTATATATGGTCTTTAGTAGGTTAAGATATATTCCCTTCTATACCTAACTAGCTCAGTGTTTTATCATGAAGGGATGTTCACTTTTATCAAATGTTTATTGTGTATGCATTGAGATGATCATAAGATTTTTATCCTTCCTTTATTCTGTTGACATTGTGAACTCACCTAACATTCTTATAGTCCTCTGTTAACAGACACACTATTATTTAGTATTATAATTTACATGGAATGACATTCAATGAGAATTCAATGAGAATAATCCCAGAAAATCTTTCCTTCCCTCCACTGTGAGATACAAACTGAGTTATCAGATAAGTTCAGGAAAAAAAATTGGGCATACTCTCTTCAGATCATTCTTCTCTTTAGAATATGTTTGTCTGTAAAATGTATATTCTATCTGTTGGGGAACACTGCAAGTATGTGTAAGTCTAATCCAAGTAAGTATTAACCTGTCCTCTGGTTGCACACATAAGCCCATACACCAAACTAACATATCAGCAGTAAACATAGAACTATGACTTTCATCTGTCCAGTTGGTTCCAATACCACCGTTTACAATAACTACCTATTCTAGACAAGTATGACTGTTAAAAATTTCTAACCATCACATCAAAGAAACAGAATCTACTGGATCTCACCTGTTTTCCAGGATGATCTCATTGCTTAAGGTGTCTTGCATTGGATCCAGCATCCTAAATGTGGGAATTCTACCATTGCCACTAAGTGGTATGTAATCTTTGCCATCCTGCAAGAAAAAAACACAAATGGCAATCATTTCCAAAGGAAATATATGCTAAATGAAAAATTTTATTCCCTTCCTTGAATGAATTTATCTGAGAAGAGCTACATATAAAACAACATGAATGGATATACTAATTCAAACCCTAGAGGAAAAGTGCCTATTTTGCTAAGTAGTCACAGAACAAAAACAGCAGCAAAAAACTATACTGTTTCCTTCATTTATTACTTAATTTGATTTTTTTAGGAATCAGTTGAAGATTTAAAACCAATTACTACTAGCAGGAGATCAAGTTCCTTACTCTTAAAGGTTCAACAATTGTTACATTTTTAAGATTTTACAATGGAATTATTGTGGAGAGGGATTGAAACTAAACTTCATTTAATCTGAACTATGCAATACCTCATGGTTGATATTTTTATTTATTTAATTTTTAACTCGGCAAGGACATTAAAATTTGAATTTGAGAGACAAGCTTTTTGTTGGTATAGGAGAGGGTCAGTTATTATGAATCTTGAGTGTTTTGTTTGACCATAGATAGGTAAATATTGCTTTTGAAATCAAATATCATTGGATTAATAGAGCCTCTAAGCCTTTACCTCCATATGGTCTTCATCATTCTGAGAGTTTAGGTGGGGCTTTTATATCCTTCATTGTGATTATAAGTTCTGGATATCTATTTAGACAAGCTAACTTAAAGGAAAGGGGTTGTGTCAAATTGGACCCTACTTCAAATGTTATATCTCCCTTCAAAACATTACCTCTCTCAGCTCAAAGTGCATTCTCTCCTCCTACTGAGCTCCAAAATTCCCCATTCCTTTCCTTTCTCCTCAATTTTCTTCTCAAATGGCACTAATCTCTCTTGTATCAAGAGAATTGTAATAGCTTTTAGGGTGGTCCTAATGGTCACTGTCCCTTGTTATTCATACCCTTACATAATTCCCTCCCATTAGATGGGATATTAATTTATTGACTCACTTCTTATCAATAGACTATGACCAACATGAAGAGATACAGATTCCAAGAATAGGTTGTATAAAGATGTGGCTTTCACTTTGCAAACTTATTATGTGAGCTGCCCTAGGAAGAGACCCATGTAGAAAGACATCAAGGCAGAGCTCCAGACTAGATCCACAGAAGAACTGTACCTTGTCAGTAAATGCATGAGTAAATTTTAAAGTGTATGTACATCTAATGAAGCTTTCAGATGCAAATAAAATCATAGCCATCATCTTCAATGAAAATTCTTAAGACTCCTAGAGCCACAGTAAAGCTCTCTTTGGATTCCTGACACACAAAAATTAAGAAATAATAAATGTTTTTTTTAAATTTACTTTATTAAGTTAAAACATGTATAACTAATTGTACCATTTCAACCCTTTAATTGTGGAGCTCAGTGACACTAGTTAGATGTACATTGTTGTTAAAGTAATGATGATTATCCATCCCCAGAATATTGTATATCATCAAAAGCAAACTCCATGTCCTTCTTCAAGAAGAAAAGAAAACAAACATCCCATTTCTGTCCACCCACCTCTGAAGTGGAACTGGTATCTTTTTACTTTGCCTATGTTCTCTTGGTCAGTTTCATTCCACCAACAACTATATTCCTGTCCTCCTTCCTTCCCCTCAATCCCTTTCTTATATTCCACTGATATCTCTTGTAATTTCATGAAATGCCAACACACTCCCCTCCTCTTATTTTGTTCTTCCTTCTGCATAGGGGAGAAAACATTTGACCCTTGATTTTTCTGGGTGTGGCTTGTTTCACTGAGCATGATTTTCTACCGCTGCATCTATTTAGCAGTAAATGCCACAATCTCATTCTTCTTTTCAGCTGAGTAAAATTCGTGTGTGTGTGTGTGTGTGTGTGTGTTACATTTTCTTTATTCATTCATCTGTTGACAGGTATCTGGATTGGTTCCATAGCTTGGCTATTGTTAATTGTGCTACTATAAACACTGAGGTGACTGTATGTTGATAGTATGTTTATTTTAGATATATACCATGGAGATGAGTGGGAAAGCTTGGTCAGATGCTGGCTCCATTCCTACTTTTTTAAGGAATCACTATACTGCTTTAAAGAGTGGTTGTATTAATTTGCAATACCACCAACAATGTATCAGTGTATTTTATTTCCATACCATCACCAGAGTTTAATATGATTTGTATGCTTTTTAAAGTTTTTATGTATTCTGGATAATTGTCATTCTGACTTAAATTCCTTTGCTGTACACAAAGTAGAGTCACATCCTTCATGTCTTCATACATGTTCTTAGGGGAATGATGATCATCACATCCCACCATCTTTCCTACTTTATGTACAACCATAGATATGAAAACTTGTGCTCTAAATGTGTAGTATGTGTTGTAATGTATTCTGTTATCATATATAACAAATTAAAATTAAAAAGAAAATGATAAGAGAGTATTATGAGATATTTTTTCCTGTTTTAATTTTTATTTATTATTATGAATCACTTGACCATCCTCAGCCTACTCTTCTCAAAAATAAACAAATGGTTACCATAAAAATTCCTTTGCTGTATAGAATTTTAATTTGATATAATCCAATTTATTGATTTTTGGATTTATTTCTTGCACTTTAGGAGTCTTGTTAAGGAAGACAGTACCAACACATTGAAAGTTTGAGCCCACATTTTCCTCTAGTAGCTGTAGATTTCCTGGTCTAATTCCTAGGTCTTTGATCCACATTGAGTTCAATTTTGTGCAGGGGGACATATAGAGTTCTAGTTTCATTCTTATACATATGGATATCCAATTTTCCCAGCAACAGTGGTTTAAAAAGGCTATCTTTTCTATCTTCTTTCTTTCTATGCTTTTAGCATCTTTGTCTAGTATCAAATGACAGTATCTATGTAGGTTTTTCTCTATATCTTCTATTACATTTGTTTTCATGTGTGACTTATTGACTGTACCATGACGTAGTATAATTTGAAGTTTGGTATACTTCTTCAGTATTGTTTTGGATATTCTTGATCTCTTAGTATTCCAAATAAATTTCAGTATTGATTTTTCTAGTTCTGTGATGAATGTCATTGGCATTTTGATGAAAATTACATTGAATCTGTACAATGCTTTTGGTAGCATGGCTGTTTTGATAATATTAAGTCTGCCTATAAATGAACATGGAATATCTTTTCATCTTCTAAGATCTTCAATTTCTTTCTAACATGTTTTATAGTTTTTATTGTAAAGGTCTTTCACCTTAATGGTTAGATTTATTCTTTTTCAGCATATTCATTATTGAAGTACAGTAAAGCAATGTTGTATAATATTTCATCCATTGGAAAAGTTAATCCATCAAACTCACTGTCTTCCCTGTGGCACCTGCATATTTCTCTAAAATAGATCATATTTTAAGGCACAAAAATTTCTTCCCCCCTATCGGATAATAATGGAGTGTAATTAGAAATCAATGACAAGATAAAAACAAAAACCATTCTACCACCTATAGATTAAATAATACATATTTGAATGATGAAGGGATCTAAAAAGAAATCAAGGGGGAGCAAATTTTTACCCCTCACACATAAGCTAGAACACTAGTCTCTAGGATAATAAAGAACTCAAAAAGCTAAGTACCAAAAAATAAATAAAAATAAATAAACCAATCAAAAAATGATGGGCCACAGATCTGAACAGACACTTCTCAGAAGAGGATATACAATCAATCAACAAATATATGAAAAAATGCTCATCATCTCTAGCAATCAGAGAAATGCAAATCAAAACTACTCTAAGATATCATCTCACTCCAGTTAGAATGGCAGCTATTATGAAGACAAACAACAATAAGTGTTGGCAAGGATGTGGGGAAAAAGGTACACTCATACATTGCTGGTGGGACTGCAAATTGGTACAGCCAATATGGAAAGCAGTATGGAGAATCCTCGGAAATCTGGGAATGTAACCACCATTTAACCCACCTATCCCCCTCCTTGAACTACACCCAAAGGACCTAAAAACAGCATACAACAGGGACATACGCACATAATATTTAAAGCAGCACAATTCACAATAGCTTAACTGTGGAGCCAACCTAGATGCCCTTCAGTGGATGAATGGATAAAAAATGTGGCATATATACACACAGGAATTTTACTAAGCATTAAAAGAGAATAAAATCATGGAATTTGCAGGTAAATGGATGGTGTTGGAGAAGATAATGCTAAGTGAAGTTAGCCAATCCCCCCAAAAAACAAATGCTGAATGTTTTCTCTGATATAAGTAGGCTGACTCATAGTGGGGTAGGGAGGGGGAGCATGGGGGGATTAGATGAATTCTAGATGGGGAAGAGGGGTGGGAGGGGAAGAGAGGGGGAAGGGGATTAGCAAGGATGGTGGAATGTGATGGACATCATTATCCAAAGTACATGTATGAAGGCTCGAATTGGGTGTCAACATACTTTATTTATAAACAGAGATATGAAAAATTGTGGTATATATGTATAATAAGAATTGTAATACAAAAAAACAAACTACATGTATACAGGCATGAATTGCCGTGAACATACTCTATATACAATGATATGAAAAATTGTACTCTATATGTGTAATAAGAATTGTAATGCATTCTGATGTTGTATTTAAAAAAAATAAAATGAATAAAACTAAAAAAAATGAAAGAAGAAGAAATCACAGGGAAAATTTAAAAATTTTTGAAAAGAATGAGAATAGAGATAAAGCATACTAAAATCTCTGGGAGAGTATGAAGGCTGTTTGTAAGGGAAGTTTATAGCACTGAATCCCTACATTAAAAAAACAGAAAATATCCCAAATAAAAAACTAAACATAAAGGCTATAGAAAAGAAGAATAATCTAACACCCAAATCAGTAGAAAATGGGAAATAATATTAGAATGGAAATTAATGAAATTGAGAATTTACAAAAAACATGAAAAGGATCAAAGAATCAAAGAGTTAGTTCTTTGCAAAGATAAACAAGATTGATAAATTGTAGCCAAACAAACCATAAGAAAGAAAG